TAAATTAGACTAGTTAGATCATGCAAATTATATTGTATATAAGCAATGGTAAAGTTTATTCTCATTAAATCCCGTGATGAGTGGGCGACCACGAAACAGGCTTGTAGGGATGAACTTGTAGTTTGCTTGTCTTTTTCCTCCCACAATGTATACTTCGCTCTACTTCTATGTATTGAGCACTGTTCTACGAAAATAAAGTCACACTTTATGTATATATATATATATATAGGAAGTCTGCAAGTCGATTTTCGCGTGGAACAGTGCTCAATACGTTGAAGCAGAGCAGAATAAATATTATGAGAGGAAAAAAGGACGTAACTACATTTCCCGACAAGCCTGTTTCGTGAATCGCTTCACTCTTCAGGGGTTTAAACCCCTGAAGAGTGAAGCGATTCACGAAACAGGCTTGTCGGGAAATGTAGTTACGTCCTTTTTTCCTCTCATAATATTTATTCTGCTCTGCTTCAACGTATTGAGCACTGTTCCACGCGAAAATCGACTTGCAGACTTCCTATATATATATATATATACATATTATTTACTATTCTTGCTATGTTCATTGATTCTGAAAAAGCCTAATAGGAGTGATCAATAAAAAAGTGTTGTATTGTTTTTTTTTTATGCAAAATCGATCTTTAAAGATTATTGCTGTTGCTGTGAACACAAAATATTAAAAAAAATGTTTGGTCAGATTACCGAGGAATGCCTTATACCTCGCAGCAAGCTGTGCAGAAAACGAACTACCCGAGTCAGATGTACTTGGTATTATTTCCTGGACTTGCCGAGGAAGATTTGGAATAATAAGATTAAACTGCACCGGTATTGAAACAAAAAGAAGAAATCAAGCTTCTCAAGCTTGCTGTGATGTACAAATAACTGAAAACGGTGGCAGAGAAGAAGTACATCAGGGAGGTTGGAAAAGTAACATATTTTCCTGCTAGTTTGTTAAAATAGAGTGATATCTATGAAGTACAGTTGGACCTCGCATTACTACTAAATGTGCATCTCCGCGTATTTTAATTTTTTTTACGAATATTTATACCGGGTAGCCCATTTCAGCTAATAGCTGGTTTAAATGGGGTCCTGTGACACCCACCCATCCCACCCCAAGGGAGGACGTTCATCACACAGTAATCTCGTGCGTGGGAATTTAACAGTATTGATTTGAGCCGCTCTCTTTATTACGCACAGCCTTTCAAAGTCCTGAAAAAATTTGACATGTTTTCTCGAAAAAAACTGAACCCCATTATAATTTAACCATCGAACACTAAACCCCTATTCCATAGAGCCAACACCATATAAACTTAATCTCTTTATTTTGGACTTTCCAGTCAGTCTGATTTGTGTATTTAGCACAATTTCCTGTCAGCAGTTACATATGAATCTACTGAAACGTAGCCTCCTGCAAAAGGAGAATACTACAGCCAAAGCCTATTCAACAAACTGAACATAATCTGTTTTTTTAATGAAACAAAGTAAAAACAATCAATGAAAAGCCGAAATAGTCCCATAAATAGTTCAACAGTATTCATCATTTTTCTAGTTCCCTGCATATCGACCTTCACCCATTGGGGAAACAGATCACTATCTGTTGAATCAGTGGATAAGTGGCGGTGTCAGTGGAATGGTTTTCGTCTGGTGGTGGACATTCAGGGACATATGCAGTTTCAAACTCGTTGCAACGGAAGTTCTACTCCGTTAACTACGCACGGTTGTGAGTGCAGTTGAAACCAGTTTTTCGTTAACGAACCTTTGTAGGTACCGTTTGACTACTGAATGACCAAAAAGGCCTGCTTTTTCAAGGGAAACCTTTGGAGGAATAGAGGGATCGCAACCAAATTCGGGGAAACTATTTGGATCTATGGACTAGGTCTCCAACACTTAGACTCCCGTATTGTACTTAAGAAAGGCATCAACTGAAGCAACTTCAATCACGTACACCTAACACTCTACGCCAATTTCTACTCTGCTTTCTGAGCCAAAAGATGAGTAAAACCCCTGCAGGTACACCAGCAGAATAAGAATTGTGGGAAATTTTTTCGAGTGCAACTTGAGCACATTCCAAATAAATAAAGTAATTGCGCGACCTCGAAGGTCGAATGCACGTTGCAATTCGTAGTCTGAGGATTTACAAGCCCTAATTTTGTTCCAAATGCATGAGAAATTATTTGATAACTTACTACTAGCACACAAAAAACAATTTCACCTTTATGCAATCAATTCCAAGTGTCTCCATTGTTAGAAGTTACTCGGCTTGATTTCAGCCAATGCAGACGCTGGAACGTTTGCCTTTATGTCATTATCATGGAAAAACTCTTCATTAACTTTCCCTTTAGGTGATGGCAAATTTTATCAGAAGAATAGGCAAAAGTTCTTTGATCAGGTAAGCGTTCAAGAAGTTAATGGGAACCTATCTTATTGCCTTTGAATGAATTCATGTGTCGTTTCTAAGCAAAAGATTACTTGATCTTCAGCGTTTCCTTAGGATTGGAAAACGAAATGATTATGAAACAGCTATTATGACCTATTGTTACAAACTTTTTTGAGTTATCATAAGTTTTCAAAGCTTTCAAAGCTCTCAGCCTTTGAAATGAACCGTGGTAACGATTAATTAAGGGGGTTGTCACAATAAAAAGCAAACCGATGACTAAAAAAAACGGAGAAAAAGGGGGATTCGCCATTGTCACTTTGTGAGAACCTCTTCATCGGAAGGTGAAAAAAAAATTTTTATGAATGCTGTTACATGGTCAGGAAATACCCTTGCGTACCACTATTCAATCGCTCGACATCTGCGAATCTCGTTAAGAATTAACTTTAACGGATTCTTCAAAGACAGATCGGGATTTGAAGAATGCTGCGAGGCTTTCTATAGCTTGAACCATATAAATACCACTTACAATGGGTAGATTATTCCGAAAACTCCTGGCAAACAAATTTGAATTCGTCATGCAATTTATTTTACACATTCCCACCGCTAATTTTTGAAGATGTAACTGGCGTTTTCTAAATGATCTCTTGCATTTAAGTTTCTTTTTAATCATAACCTTGTTTCATAAAAGTGTTTGTCGACAAAGCAAAACATCGTTTTAGGAAATGGTATTCATGAACTTAGTTGAATTTCGACCTCTAAAGGAAATGCTTTTAACGCCTTTTACATTAAGTAAATAGAGGTTGGAAAGTTAGAGAACAATAATAAGACTTTAAAACGATTTTGAATGACTTCGTCCTGATAGAATCAGAAAGGAATTTTCACAATGTCTACAATAGACCATTTCTTGCAATATAGGTTTTGAGACTGCCGCATCAGTGAAATCAGTTTACAATGGAAGTTGATAATAACATTTGAACTTGTATTGTCCCATTTCCTTAAAAGAGCAAGATTTTGCTGCAGCTTTGTTGGCTGAATGCATTGAAGAAGGAAGTCTACGTTCAGAGAACAATATTCGTAATCGATCAACAAAAACTCTCAATAAAGATGCCGCCAATCAGACGGGAAACATTGAATGATCATAAGCGGGTAGAATGAATGAATAGATCATCTGTAAAAGTAAATAAGAAACATTTCCGAAAAAAAAGAAGATAGAAATTGCTCCAATTTTTTTAAATTAGTAAAAGAACACCACCTTTATTTATCATTTTTGCACGTTTGTCCAAACGGCTTCTGTTAAGGGTGATGCGTTGCAATGTTAAGCAAAAACCAGAAAGAACTCTCTAAATTCCACGTATTGCAAATTGCACGTGTAAGACACCAGAATTTCGCAAGAGCCGAGCCTAGTAAATTAATGAAATCAGCCTTTTGAGTTACTCATAGAAGAACTTCCCGTTTAGCATATGAAAACTCAAATGTGTCCTAGGTATTTCCTAAAAGTTGCTGCCAATAATACGAGAAATATAAACCCAGGCGAAACTTTAGCTCGAAACTTTGAAAACATGGTTACCCTAAATAAAATGACTGCTTTGAGATTACAAGGTTGTAAATTCTTGGCCAAAATAATGGGATGAACGCAACACAGGCTGAAATGCAAAGTGGGGTACGGGTGTTTCCATTGTTAAAAAAAGACGGAGGCAAAGTGCATGGAAATGAAATACCCAGGAAAGTAGCTGAGCACTCCTGCACATGCAAAGGACACAACATCGAATACAAACGAGGTTCAGTTTAAATCAATAAAGGTACTGTAGATTACTGTTTATGTGCATGTGCAATTCTTGAGCATCTAAAAGACAAAATTTAATCACAAATATATGAGTTTAATAAACCAACGTAATAATAACCGGATATGCAAACGTCTTTCAAACAGGGTGAAAACCAATAACGTTGGTAGGAACACGTCAAGTCAAGTTAATATTTAAACTGATGGGAAATTATCAGCACACATTGACATAAATAATTTAGTACGTACAGTAGATGGAAATAAATGAAAATAACTTGCATTGCATCATCATTACCATTTGATGAGAGAGAAGATGAAAGAAATAAATAGAAATAAGGGAAAATTGAAAGTCACCTTCAAAGGGTATAGATTTTGTGACACCCGAATGGTTCACGAAGTAATTGAGTGGGTGAGGCAAATAAATAAAACAAGGAAAATGAGAAAATCAAGTGAGACGGAAGGAAGAATTGAGACAATACGCTTATCTTTGTGGAATCAGAAAACAAATTCAAAACATCAGTATTGTGCTACTCGCGTAGTAACATATACAGTAACAGGCAAAAACTTGTAAAGAGGATGATAAAAAGTTTTGGACTGTACGTGTTTAATTGAAGCCTGAAGGCAATAAGCTTGAATCTAAATTCTCGTTTAGCATAAACAGGTCTTCTTCGATGCTATGGAAGATGTCAAATCCAGGTTTTGAATAATTTGCAAAATATTGCCTGTAATTTTATGGAAAACAACTCGGTCACACACATAAAGTTTTATCCTCAGTGTCACTTTGTTAATCATGCTTTCTTAAATAGTACAAGAGGCAGGAAGTCCTCAGTCTAAGGCTTGTGGCCGAGCTGAAAATTGTTTGTCTTTGGAATTTCCTGTCTTCAGAATCTAAATCTGCTGACTAAAAAGAAACAAAGAGGAGCTGGCAATGTCGTGATAGCAAGTTTTAATCACCCATCCAAAAGAAAAACAAAGCAACGTACCGGTGAATAGCCTACTAAATATATCAACAAATGCTTCTCTAGCTGCCAGTTCTGTCCATCAAAAGAAGATACCAAATTAATGTCACTGGACATGCTAGCACGCGAGTGCGATGACTTTAAGTTCGAAGCTGGATCATGTTTTGAAATTGTTTGAAAAACTTAGCTATAGGACAGATAGCTCGTTCAATTGCAGCTGAATGCTTTTTTTGTGAATTTTTATTGATGCACCATTTGTACTTAAAGTAAAATGGAAGATCAATTCTAAAATAAGGTCCATCGATAGCTAGCAAACCCTAGATTTAAAAACGTGCTCCATTTCTTACAATTTTTTTGAAATTTCACTTCCACTGTTTTCCTCGATGACATAGTAAGAGAGGGGAAGAAAAATCAATATGAAGGAAATGTTTTAATCTTAATTGTCAGAGACGTACGTGGCATTTTGATATCTCTCGACGCTTCCACATCAATAAAGATGGAGATAAATTGTGAACAGCTGGCTTACCCCTTTAAAGATAGCTAACTCTCTCGAGCTATGTTTAAACTCCGCGAAACTGGTGGTCGACTAAAAGACCCCAAACGTACAATTTTCACAACCTTAGGTACTTTCCTTGCAGAAACCTGTGTCTGATTAGCTTCAAGCATCGAGTCAGGCGAGAGAACCTGACAGGTGAACAATTGGTTAAATTTCCGATAGGTTAGAATTTCTGTTTAGTAATGATCTGGAGAAAATGTCAACGGAGCAAGGAAAGCGGTTGTAAAAGCGTCTCCCCCCAGTCACTTGATAATTGCAAAATTGCTTCGGCCCTTGGGATAAAATGAATTCTAACGGATGGCTTTTTTTAGTGGATCTGTTGCTGGTGTTCACAGTTGAGGTAAATGTCTCTTAATCTTTTCACCGCACGCTTAGCTTGACTTATCTCTGAGCTAACGCAAATGTTTCCTCTCTAGATTTCAAGCTCGCTTCAACAGAAAGAGGAGACAATATCTACAGGTAATCTTTTATTAGGTGTACCATACAACACCAAAATTATTTTTTTTCTTGATCTCATTGAACAACTTCCCTCCATCGTCAAGGTGTTTGTATAATCGCAAATTTAAAATTTAAAAAAAAATTGTGTATGAATGAATTATTTCTCCAAAATGAACTCATCAAATATGTATTGTGGTCTTCAGGAAAATATATACAAAACTACTTGCTGTCAATTTAATTTGGAAAATGATGGAGCTGAGTTCTTAGTTTAACTGAAATAAATCGAAATTCTTACCTACACGTTTTGACGGTAATTTCTGTTGCTTATGCTCGAAAACATATTCCCGCCGAAGCGACGCATAAACCAGCTGAAAATGATTGAATATTATTTTGATCAGAAAGTTCATATCATCTTCTTAAGTTTCCACCTTGACCGAAATGTTTTATTCTCTGCAAAACATATTTCGTGGGTAAGTGTTAAAGGATCTTAAAGAGATGCGGTTGAAACGTCGAATACCTATCAAACAAGTTGGCGAAGATTAAAATATCATGTTTGTTAACTCATTCTTTCTTCGCCGTCACATGTAGAATAATGAAAACTTATATTGCGGATGAACACCCATTCAAACACCGGCACAGCAATTAGCAATATTTCTCGTTCATCCATGAAATAGTCAGTAGTAAATAATTTGTCCCATTTCTTTAACTAATTAAGTCAAACCGACTTTCTCCTGACACCAAGTTCTACCAACAGAAAAAAATGGAGGGAAATAAAAATTTTAGTAATGACTTGTGAACATTTCGTGAGGCCAGTTAATGCAACAAGCAGTAACAATGTTGCCGTATCCCAAAGATGATTGTCCCTTCACAGAGACGAGCGTCACGCTCCCATGGCTACCTAGGATGGCACTCCCTTTCATTTGTAAAAGAAAATTTTTTCAGTGATGATCAAAAATAGTTGAAATGTCCGCCCTTTTAGCATCAATAATTAATCTAATACGGTAGTATTTTCTCTGATAAGCATGTCTGGGAAAAAATTTTCTTGAGTAACTTTTTCTGATTCAGTTCTTTTGAACTCAAAATATCAAGACAACAGCAATTGAGAACCAACGGTAAAACGAACCATGACATATGAGAGGTTGAAGAGTCACTTCAATCTTGAGTTAAATTTCGCACCTTTAATTTCTAAGAAAATTTTGAACAATTCGTACCATTGAAAAAAATTATCACCTCGTTTAGATACGAGTCATGTTTTAGTGACTTTTTGTTACAAAGCATCTCATCAAACTTACTTTGATCAACCCAAACTATACTGTCAAGAAAATATTGAATTCGAAAAAATCGATCAGTACCTGAGACGCACAGATGGTAACAGCCGTCATTAAAAACCTGAAATGATCACGAAACTTCAAGCTTATTTCTTTGAAACACCATTTACATGTATACAAATTACTTTAATGATCAAGTGCACCGGAGATGGTGAAGTCGCATTAGATCCCGTTAATGCATTATCTGTCACCTGACGCCGATGTTCTCTTTTAATGTTTGCTCTTCTGTAAGACTCAAAACTTCCTTTATAAATACTAATCCGAGAGTCTATGAGATCCTGAAACAAAGAAAGCTCTACTTAGTATTTGAATACTTAAGCGCTGCAGAAGCAGTCGATGAAAGCTGATCTCTCGTAAGCATACGTGGCTTGAATCCGAAATGAAGAACGTCTCTCGTGAAGCGCACGTGCATTTCAAGCAAGAGCTTCGAATAAATATGTTTTTGATCTTACGAGGATAAAGGATCGGTAACGGAACACTTTGAAAAATAGACGGGAAAAAAAACAAAACAAAACAAAAAAAAAACAAAAAAAAAAACAGTGACAGAAGAGAATTTGATCGTGTCAAGATTTAATAAATATTTTGAATCGATTATTGCAAGGAGACAACTGCATTTTATTTCATTACTTGACAGTAACGTACCTCGAACCCAAACAATAAATATCAAATCGATAACTAATTTAAAGTTCTGTGCTAATGATCATCAAAGTGTAATGGAGGCTTTACTTACTATGAAACCAAGCAAAACAAAACAAAAAGGCATAATCATGCTGTGGATGCAAATGCTGTAAACGTTACGAAGTATATTTAAGGTCGCCGTTGTCTCTCAAAATTGTAAACCTTTCATTGCTTCATGGTTCTTTAAAAAATTCATACTCACTCGGTTTATTTTTTAATTTTGAAGACAGGCAGCTACAAATTCATTTGAAACGATTAAACTTTAAAAAATTGGTTTGAATCATGAATTGAAGACTTTCCTGTTTAATAATTTAAAATTGTTATTCGCTGGTGATTTTATAAAGTTATTAAGCCGGCTTTGTCCTACCAAAGGTTTCGAATGTTTTCAAATACTCACAAACAAAATTTGTGAGTATTTCAATTCAACTTTATTGGCTCAAATTGGACAAGATATAGTTCAAGGTGTGGTGAGGATAAAAAAAATTGGACCTCGCCATCTCTTGCTCAATTGCCACAAAAATAAATGAATCTCTGTGCAAACTCTGTACGAAGCTGATATCGGGTTTTTTTGTTGTTTTCTTTCCAGTATTTTGTAGTCAATCAAGGAAATACTGGAGTAACTGCAGTTCTGAATTCTACAGCGAAATAAACTGGAATTGCACAGGTCGTTCTCAATACATATTCATTAGTTGCAAAGGATCTCAAGAAGGAAATTCAACATTACACCCAACCAGAATGTGCTGTCAGGTTTCTTTTAAAAAGGAAAATAGCAGTCTCACAGGTATTTAATCATTAAAAAGAGAAACCAACTATTTGATACCACACATTGTTAATGCCACTAAACAATTACTGCTTTTCTTATTATTTAGTTCAAGTTTTATACTTATCTGGGGCGTTTCGTTCATCTAAAACGACAATTTCGGCAATAAAAGCCACTATAAATTGAACTAGAAATAATCTTGAAGCTTTTCCGCTTAATTGTTCATAGGTGATAAAACTTCAAATTGTGTCACTGATCAAGAATAAGCTTCAGTCTATGAGCGACTTACTGCAATGAACAGAGGAGAACTTCAAAATGAAACTGGAAGCAAATCACTCAGAAATTGTTCTGTTCATCAACGAAAGAATTTAGGTTGAGGTTTCATGCACATGCCCAAAAAGTCAAACTTAACATGCAATTAAGATATCAATGAATTAAATATTCGTCATCAAAAATTTTAATCTAATAATGTATTACTGTAGCATCGTGCCTTGAAATCTTTGGAGCGCGCAATGTCTCTTCTATGCAAACCAACAACATTAAAAAATGGCATTGCGAGTGGGAATGGTACGCCTTAAACATCTCACAGCAAACTTTTGGTCCTGGAGATAAAAGGATGTTGGGGACATATTATCGTTACACAGGAAGGCGTAACAAAACTCACCTCCAAACCTGCCATAGTACCGGTAGGTAATAATGTATTTTCAATCAAAGCTAGTCCAGTCCAGCGGCTATCTCTTGGAAGCCTAGTTTGGATTCTTGAAGATACTTACTCAAGGGGGAAGCATGGAAAATTGTCAAAAATATTCCAAACTTGGTATATTCTATGTCATAGAAAGAGAATACATTGATCACTTTTCATTTTCTGGCTTTCTATGAGTTAGTAGATTTAACCCTTAAGGAATGAGTGCCATAAAATGCTTATCAAGCTAGTTCACGCGGGACATTTCATTATTAATTCCGTTACTGTGCTAATTCTTTGAAAACTGATCTTATATTCAGAGAAAATCACACAGACCACCAGAACAACCTCCTTGCCTCCTGGTAAGAACATTTTCCATGCTTGCTAAGTGAACTTAATGACTCAGTTGCCATTAAGTGAGGTCAGACGAGCTACCCTTTATTTTTTCTCCACCCTCTCTAGTTTCAATCATGTGTGCTCATTTTTTCAAAAAAAAAAAAGGAAAATCAACCTGTCTAGAGGGGGGAAACAACAATAAATACTAAGTATAGTTGTCTAAGACACCGTATTTTAAGATCTCTTAATGCCGGAGTACAACATTATATCAAAGACCAACCTGACAACTCATGTAAATAAACTTTCATTACGCTTCTCTAAGTCGGCGCTGCGAATCGTTTGTGAGCTGGAAAAATCGAGCACTAATCATTTATCTCACAATATTTGTCTAACTTTCCAGTGACACAAAGTTCAACAGCAAGCACGTTTCCTTCAAGTAAGAGTGAGTTTGGTAATTGTGTTTAATCAGATAATTGTCTTAACATTCCAATCGTGACATTCTAAACTCGAGTTTAAAACTTATCCGCTGCCTCAGTTATTTTATATGTGATTGATAAAGGCAAGAGAGCTTTGATATCTATATGATACAGATTATGTGTACTTTCAAAAACAGATGTTTAAGTGTATTTCTAACAAGCCTGCGACAAACAAAAAAACCCGAGTCACCGATAGGGATAAAATCCCTTACCTTTCAACACCTGTCGGGTTGTTCACTACTAAACATCTTGGAACTTGCGTTTAGCCAGTCTAAGTTCAATTGCGGTTTACTTTGTTTGTTTGCTTGTGTAAAGGAAGGAATGTCAAAATGAATGTTCTTGTGGTAAAAGCAAGTGGAAAGCTCTTTCTATCAAAACTATGGAGACATCTTTCGGATTCACAATTAACTTTCGGGAAGATATCGTTATCATGGCTGTCTTTTGACCCTACAGGTAACAGAAGAAATGCCTCGTCCACCATTATCGGCAAAGTGACGACTCTTGTAAGTTTGCCTTATTCTATCTCCATCCGCAACTTTCACTTTCACGTGAAGTTGTTTACCTCACTATTACTCACGTGGCAAACTCTGGAATTCTCAAAATTTGTACATGTATGAGGACTGTGAACAAAAAAAAACTGAAAATAGCATCACGTCTCTGAGACCGTTTTACAGAGTATTTGAGGGTTTTTAAACCTATAAAGAGAATGCGCAAGAAGGTTTGAAAATTTGTTTTCGGAGTATCATCATCTATTATTGGTTGAGGTTAACGTAAATATATTAATCACTTCTGCAACAAGCCCGACAGACTAAAGTCAAAGCAGAGAGCAAGAACACCGCTGAACAATTATGAACTTAATGAGACGAGATGTGGCACGCGTGGCCTAAGTGGATTGAACGTTCATGCTTTTCTTGTGACAGTCATTTCTATTTTTCACCAGGGTAAAAACCTTACTGAATTCGTTCATTATGAAAGCTGGAATTGTTCAGCTGAGATGGTAAGTGTTACACGGACCCGAGCCATTAATGCCATGAACTCGCCAACATGTGGCCGAGTATATTCCTTAATTTTTCGTCACACCTTGTACGTCTCTGAAATATCAACAGCGCCGAAATAATAAGTAATAATTTTTCCAAATAAAATTATTGACATACCAATGCAAAATCTTGAAAAGTTAGTCATAATTTAAGTAAATTCAGGAATAAAATTATACCATGCATTGAATCAGCTATAACCCAAACAATGTACGGAAATAAATATATCTTATTACAGATTATGTTGTGTAGTATCGCTGAGTATTTTTACGAGTTGTGCCGTATTTTGACGAGCCCGTGGGGCGATTCAAATACAAATAACAAGTAAAAATACTAAGAAAAACAACACATCAAAACGTCTAATAAGTTATTTATTATCTAACACGCCAAATTGTTATTTCAGTGCGGGCGAATTTCGCGGATATTTAATTACGGGGAGTGCGTGACAGAAGTATGCGAAGCGGAACGGAATTGGCGCGTTGTCATGTTGCTGTTTCTATTTTCTTCAATAAATGATGAAATTTCATTGTCATCTAAGTGCTGTCCTTTGTTCGATTTCTCTAATAAACTTGTATCAGTATTCGTCAGCCATTCCGACTATTCGTCGTCAGAAAAATAATTTAAATTGTCCGCCATTTTTTTTTTGGAACTTCAATCCATTTTGTCGCTTACGCGATACGAGAAAACCTGTCCAACCGGTTCTCTGAAGTACAAATACCGCGTGATATTTGAACTCGTCTTGGGCGTTATTTGTACTTTACGGAGTGTAGTTGGATAATAAGGACTTTTATCTCACAGCACAATAAGTTGGAAAACAACCTGAATGCTGTGGCTCAATACTACCGTCAAAATCTAAACAAAAATCGATACACCAGCATGCTATTCAATAAGTTCACTCCTTTTGGATCCTTAAAAAACTGATTCTTAAAGCCAATTTTCACTCCCCCGGAGACAATGCCGTTAAGCCGAAAATTGGTTATCTTTTTTAAACTTATATTTCAAATAAATATGAATATTCTTATTTTCCGCCATGAGTAAGACATTTTTCCTTTTCACAATTGCAAGATTGCAGAATTACTTCCGAAAATAGAGGACAGAGTCCATTCCTTCCTTAGGGAGATTCTTGACTCTCAGGCTGTGGAGCTACCTTCATTTTTTAGCCGGATAATAGGTACAAGTCAATTTAATCTTACGTCTTTACGGGAAAGCTTTTCCACTCCTAAGGGGAGGTGGAACGCTTGCTTCTCTAATCTTCTCGAATTAACATTGGCCAATTCAGTGACTTTAGTTAGGTGAGCCGGACGATCTTCTGAAAGATCCAAGGTAACTAACTCTGGTGGAGGCGAATTCCAATTCAGTGAAATAGGACCACACTCAAAACAATCAGAACTCTTGGAGGGAAACGATTCAATTAAGAAAAAATAGCTTAGACATTTCCAGCCATCAAGACGTAATTTTTCTCTTGCTCAACAGAACTTCACGGCGTCATTGCCACAAGTGTCAATAAAACATTAAAAGTTCCTAGCACCGCTGGAGCAGGCCAGTCACATGGTCTGTTAGTTTTACCGCCAGGATCAATTGATATCAAAAATGGTAAGTTCGATAAATATAAGGATAATAATTAGGAATAAATTTAAACACAGAATGGCTTCTAAAGTTGTTGCCATCCTGGGCAAAAAGCTGCCAACAACGGAACATTGGGATCTTGAGTAACGTAATATTAAATGACCATATTTAGGAACTGTTATCTTGAAAAAGTATCTTCTTCAAAACAAGTTTACGCCGTTTTTGATGGGAATAGTACCGAAAAAAATAGTTTTAGTCATGGATAAGAAGTCATCCAAACAATCGTAAACAGTTCATATGAGATACTCTTAATTACCTCTTTGCTAGGGAATATTTGTTGAACTCGCTTACCAGAAAAAAAAAAATTTACATGGTTTACCTAGGAGTTTGGGTTACGCTCAAATCGGAAAAAATGGCTCGTAAATTAACTAATGTGCCTTTTTTTTGTCTATTTGAAAGAACGACTGGCCATAATAACAGTTGTACTCAAGTTTGCTTCACTGTGCAATGATAAAGAAGGTTTGGCATTGGGCTCATTGCCCGAAAAGAGGCAAGTTGTTCGCAGACAGTATGCACGATTAATAATAAATAATTCCCCAACTTTGAAGTAGCCCGAATTCTTGGTCTGCTTTAACTGCACCTTACCAACAATGGATTCGTCATCCGTCTGACATAAGTGCGTAGAAAAACAGTTAAACACAAAAAGGGAAGGAATGGATTTTTGTTCCATAATACTTCATGAATCGTGTTAAACCGCGTAGCAGAAAGATATTTGAACTATTGACAAATAACTAATTTGCAGAGGATCAAGCGGTCTAATACTTTTACTTATCAAAATTCTCTTTTCACAGATCCTCTGTCTTGAAATCTCCGATAGTTTCTGTGTTGGGAATGACCAATAAAAGTAACGTACATACTCTTCAAAAAAACGCCACCTTACGCTTTAGGATCAAGGTAAAAGACTCAATCTTTTCCGCTTTTATGAGTACTCATCGATTAAAAGGTGCTAAAATGAGTTAAAAATTATAACACCTTGTACCAGTTTGTCTTACCACTGATCTAGTTTCTTGACAGCCATTGAAGCCAATTTCTCTGAGCTTTTCCATTGTGCTCCCTAACGATGATACCTATACTCTACCTGAAGGGATCATTTTAGTAATATAATTTCGCTGTTGTTACTCTCAGAGGGATAATCAATCATCTGTTGGGTGCCGGTTTCTACGCAACAGTTCCGGGTAAGTATCTTTGCATTATTTTAATAATCAAAATTAAAATTTCAAATTAAAATTTCCTGGGCGGCTTCGATGTCCACACGACATGGGTAGAATGTTGAGAACATTCTAATAAGAACCTTGAGCGCACCAAAATATTATCGATTCTCAGAAGTTAATCAGATCCATTTTTTCACCTCTGCTGTGAACTACTTTGTAGATAACGTATGGTTACTTATTCCAACAATCGTGTAGCTCAAAATAATAGTACCATAATTACATGTTACTGAAAGGTGAGACTACATGTATTACTTAGGTAACTTTACAGATGATCTCCTGATCTTATTCGAGACAGATCATGCTTCTGTATCCGTAAAACGTAGTGAAACAATATTATTTTCCATTAATAGCTCCAAACCTTTCTGGTCGGACAAGGGAATGACTTTCAAGGATAATTATGAAAAGAACTTCACTTCGTGTTTGACAAATCACCTCACTAGTTTTGCTGTTCTTATCAATTACAACGACGATCAGTCACAGTCGAAGGTATGAAACACATCTGTGATAAAATCAGCAATGGAAAATTTCACTAATGAACGAGAGGGTTCGATTTTCCTGCCTACCTGCTGACAATGATTATGAATGACGTCAAAGTGTGGGAAGAAGCAACGAGGGGCTCGCGAGCTGCAAGAAAAGAATGGCCAACAATGACGTCATCTGTACCACTGGCTTCTAATAGATTATAATAAAGAACACAACAAAATATATGCAGTGTAGAATATATTACACTTTATTACTACAGACGTTCTGTGATTGTCATGGGAATTCCTAGCACTCCGGCCTTGGAGTTCCTTCACCTGAAAAATAATAATAATAATTGCAGAAAATTCAAGTATTTAAAATTATAATTCTTAGACATAAAACATGGTCTTTCCGCTTTTAAATCTGTATCCCTCTATTATCAAATATTTACTTCCTCTAGTACACCATCTTCCTCAAAGGATCTACAATTATGAGTTCAAGTTCTGATTTTTTTGCGTGATCCTGTGGTTGCTTAAGTTGTGATTCTTTTTACCTGAGCTTTTAAGTCTCAGGCGAAGTTTTCCGAATGGTAAAAACGTGAAAATGACATCCTTAATTTTATATAAAAATATATTTTTTAGCTTACAGAAGAAGAATTCAAGGCACTGGACCTAATCACGAAAATTGGTTGTGGTTTTGCTATTTCATGTCTTCTTGGAGTCATTGTTACTTTTTCCTGTGTCAGGTTTGTGTTCGTTTTATATCTTGTACAATCTCTGTTAATTTTCTACAGTTCACATCATCTAAGTTGTGATCACCTGTAAGAAGTTGTCACTTCATCTCATAGAGACTTTAGAGCTGTATGAGGTAGAGACAGATTTTACATGATTGCCATGCACATGAAAGTCTTTCATCAATCGCTGTATATCTTGGTGTAACGTGCCATTGATGAAAAACTCTCGTGGGCCTGTAAAATCTGTCTCTACCTCATATAGCTCTAAAGTTAAAATGTTAAGACGCATAACCTTCTTACTAAAAGCCACACTAGAAACAATTTATTCTAAAACAGTAATCCCAAGTGTATTACATGATTTGGCTGTGTGGGGCTCCTGCCGGCTCATATTATTTGATGAAAGATCTAGAGCTGATCCACCTCAGAGTTGCAAGACCTATTCACAAACTACCAAGAGACATGGAAGACGAAAAAGTACTCAAAAAATGCAAATTCGATTCCATTATAATATTTCTTTGTTCCTCGTATTTTAAACATAACGCATAGAGCCTTTTATATTATAGATTTAGATGATATGAGTAGTCTAGTTGTGAAGAAGGCTTCTTCTGATAGCCTTAGGAAATCGTTGAATGTCGTTGTATCTAGACCAAGAACCGAACAGGGTCGTCGTTCATTTAAACACAGAGCCGTAATCGCCTGGAACTCTTTACCTGACACTATCAAACAGCTTGAAAACCCTGTCTCTTTTAAAAGAAAGATAAAATGATCAATCAAGACCTATGTCAGGGACACGAGCTTCTAAAAGGAATGCTCCGTAAATTATAATAAGAACCCTAAATTTGGATATTTTTTAATTATTTGATCTCTCTTTTAAGTATTATTGTATTCTATTTTTTGCGTCGCGACAATTGTATTGTAAATTACTGTTTTTCCTTACTTAGACTTAGTAGTAGTAGGTCCACATCAGTTGTACAATTGCGTACTTTAAAACCTACTTATCAAATAAATGTATGTATGTATGTATGTATGTAGACTTAAATTTACTATTTCGCCTTCAGGACCTTATCAGCAATGCGATACCGTATTCATATCCATCTCTGTGTCGCCCTTGTCGCTGCTCAGCTAATATTTGTCACTGGCATTGACGCCACAGGAATCAAGGTGAGTCAACGTTATATTTTTACAAATAAGCGTTGTCGCCATAAGAAGTTACACCGAACGCTGTACTCTCTTTCCTCTTTTTTACTATCAGTAGCAAGCAGGATCTTCCACAATTTCAGAGAGAATTGCACTTATTTTTTGAGTCTCGCTTTTGAGATGATTGGGACCGTTAGCATTTTGCTTCATGGTAATCACCATCATTAAACATTAGGCTTACAATGAAAAATCTGATTGGTCGAGAGCATTCAATCAATATTGAATAGTGTGAGAAGTTGACAAGATGAACGCGAATTATGCAGCAGATTTTTCGTTTATCATGTCGATTTAACAATCTACCCAGTTTCCAATCCCCTCGTTCTTGTAGTGTTCTCGAACTTTTGCTTACTCAGATAGAAACTAAAAATGGCTGAAAGCTTTGCTTTTGTTTCTGTTGATGAAATAAAGCCTGTGACTGAAGACAATGATACAAAATACACCAAGCAAATGACACATTTTGGTTAAACTTATCAGTATAACAGTATAACTTAAATAGACCGGAGCTAGTGAGATATTCTAGCGTTATTTTTCTCTCGTAGGAGGTCTGCATTGCTGTAGCTGTTATGCTTCATTACTTTTTTACCGCATCATTTGTCTGGATGTGTATAGAGGCCGTCCACATGTTCTTCAAAATTGTCTCTGTATTCAACATTCAAAGAATTCGTATGAGACATTATGTGGCATTAGGATGGGGTAGGCTTTGACGTTTGACTTTATCGTTTGCAAATTGTTTCAGCTAAAGATAAGGAGCTGATAAATCCTTAACAGTGTCAACGTGTTTCTATCACTACTTATGACTTGAGTCGCACATCACTTTACAGTTCAAAGCTGTAAGAAAGCTCTTTCCTCTTGACTAAACTTTCTATGTTGCCCTGTAACTAAATTAGTGACAATAACCTGGTCTAGTCAGTAGAATACCAGTAAGTATAACATGGGAAAATACATATCGGTAGATGATGGGGAGATGACCAAGCCATAAACACAGGATAAAACAATCCAATTTCCTTTTCCTCACCTCCTCCAGGAGTACCAGCTGTGATAGTTGCAGTATCAGCGACCGTATATAATGAAGGATACGGCACATCAAAATTGTAAGTGAAGTTGTCGATGCGCAAATTCAGACACCAAACAAACACGTCATCATTTATCTTATATTTCTGACGCACTTTTTTTTTTTTCTGTTAACTTTCTAAACTGTATGTTATTATTTTGATATACCTTTTACGTTGGGAAGTGACAGTGTGATCAATAACTCATTGATTTGAACAAAGGTTAGGATAAGTAGCATTTGTTATAATGTCAATGTCGGTTGTACACAAATTTTCCCGACGTATTGCATCATAATTAATGAGCTTTCGAATTCTCCAATTTCAGTTGTTGGTTAAGCCTTGAAGGAGACTTCATTTGGGCATTTCTCACTCCTGTTGTGGTGATAGTATTGGTAAGCTGCATCCGACTCAATTCACCCGAGTGTCGTGGAGAGTAAGATTTACCAACAATGTTCTTCTAAGGAGCCTTTTACTGGGATTGTCCATCTTCTATAGCACTTTAATTCAAACGACGTTTTGCACCAACAGAGTTATCTGTGGACAAAACTTCACTAATACTGAATTCTGTTCAGCACGTACATGCAATTAACAGATATTGCTGTTAATAAGTGCCTCTACCTTTTTTTTCTTCTAATGATTCCACAACAGGAAATGATGACAGGTTACAATCAATATATTGTTTAGCCCATGCTGACGACTTCAACAATAGTTCTCTTTGATGAAAGTTGGAAACATTAATCAATTTGTTCAAATTTCCTTCTTCTAGATAAATGCTTTCGTTTTGGTTGCTATAACGGCTGTTCGTATCTCCCTCAAAGATAATCCATTGACACCTCATGAAAATAGAAAGTTCAAGTAAGTAGACCGAACAGATATATGTTTACGCCTATAACGATTAGAAGTAGCCATGAATCCATTTACAAAAAACATTTGAAAGTAGCTAAAACCAAGTTAACCGCATTTCATCTACAGTTAATCATTAACTGTAAACACGTACTATAAAAATTATAATCAACGTAAATAAAAGGTTCTCATTTTATTTGAGCCACTGAGTCGAGTTTTAACCTATTTTTCGCTAAATAATTTTTTTCTGCCTTTTACCTTAGTGCCGCTCTTAAAACCGTCGTAGTGTTGTTTCCTCTGCTTGGTTTGAGCTGGTTCTTTGGTTTCATGTGGGTTTTGACAAGTAGCCGGCCGTTTCTGTACGCTTTTGTAATACTCTCTTCTCTTCAGGTCGGTGGTTTATTTTGTATTCATCTCCTATTTGAACACACCAGACCTTTCTTTTTCATTCTTTTTACTGATACCAACTGTAAGGTGCAAGATGCTAAGATTGCTTATAATGATATCAATAGTTGAGAATGTACATTTTGTAAAAAAAAAAAAACCAACAATCGTGGGATAGTTAAAAAGGAAACGTTTATACCAAAGAATCATGGAAATTTGCTTCAAACAGGGTATGGGTATAACAGGAATACCCAACTTGAGCAATAACGTAGGTTTCAGATGTTTTTAATTTGTTACTCAGTTAACCACGTTAATTCGTGGTAAAGACAGAAACCTGATTTTGATTTTTTTTTTCTTGAAATTACGTTCTTTTTGTAATAAAAAATAGGGCGTCTTCATTTTGTTATTTCACTGCATCGGAAACAGGGAGGTAAGGATATATTTTTTTTAGAAAAAAGGTTAATTCAAAGTTAAATATTACGACTGATGAGGATATCAATCACTGTGTTGTTCCACCAAACCCATCGACAACCATTAAGACACGTATCATAGGCGTGGTGTATCACTTGACTTATTAAATACATGACTTATCAGATGCGTGTTCAGGGGGGTGATCAGGGTGCTGATGGCTCCCTCTCAGCCAAAGAAAACTCGTCATTTCTGATATGTCTGAGAAAGCAATTCGATACGTTTAAAAATGCCAGTAAGACAGTAATGTTAAACTCCTCTGACCGAAAAATCCTCCCAGGGTTTACTTTTAAAAACTTTTGTATGAATGATGGGGTAAGTAAACTCTTCGTTTTTGAGTTGAAAATTATATAGAGGGCAGGTAGGATTTGTACTATTTTTCTTTTTTTAAATGTCTTCAAGAGCTCACCAGGTTTTCAGTTCTCTTGTTCAAATATTGTTCACCATGAAAGAGATTACGAAGCTATCGTTTACCAATTCTAGGTGCGCAGTTCGATAAAACAAATCAAAGACCGTCATTCGTTGGAGTCAAGTATTCGACATGAACAAGTAAGTAATTTTTGGAGGTTAATTTTTTCACCCAGTTTCGAGAAGGTTAGAGTAATACAAATTCTAGACCTTTTCTAATAGCAATTTCATCGTTATATCACCTTTAGAAATTCAGGGAAGGGCAGAGAAACGACAAAAGCTCAAATGGAGCCAATTACGCAGAGAGCAGAGTACTGTTAACAAAAGTCTCGGGACTAAAGAAAAGCAAAGAACAAGTTGAAAAGGCAACAGATGTATGAGAAAACAGCCAAGGGAAACTTTTAAACCTAAATTTATGTACAAAAACTCCGGGAACTGCCAAAGTCAGAATGAAGTGAATCGCCGGGGGTACCTCGGTAACAGCCACTAACCAGCCAGGAAGCAGTGACAAAACTTGCAATCTTGAGGAAGGACTTAATAAAGTCAAGGTGATCAAACGATTCCGATATTTATGGGGCCATTCCTCATCTAGCTGTGGTCCTCTACTGTACGCTTCATTTATTAGGCCTTAACCTGTGTGAATTTTTGCTACCTTTTAACATTCAGCAGAACGCCATCCGGCGCTACATAGCTGATCATATCTTCATAAGAGTTTTGATTGCAGATGGATTTCCCGTTAAAACAGTTGCACCTAAACGAAGAAAATTAGACAACTTAAATGGCCCAGTTAAACTCTGCGAAGGGCATTAGAATCTCTTGATTAGTTTAAATGAATATAACTTGTTACCTCACCTTACGAAACAGAAAATCGATTGAAGAGAGCAGCCCTGTTGAAATTAAATAAGAGATTGCCTTGCTTTCATTTCCACTGGTTTGTTAAAGAACCTCCACGCATTACTGTTTTGATGACCTTGAACTTCCTTTTGTTTTAATTGAAGATAACGCCATAGGAGTTTACTTAGGGCCAGAATTGGAATCTAGTCCACTGGCGTATGTCCTTATTTACACCCGTCTTAACGATGATGCTCGAGAAACTAAACTGGGTTAATTAAGAGTCACTACTGAGGTATCAGAATTTTAACTATATGACTGAGATGTGGCAATGATACGATACCTTTTAGTATTTTTTGTTAGCGATTCTTGCTACAGTAGTAGCTCATGTTGTTACACAGGGTCCTGTATATTTGTCAAATATGTCACTGAGTCATGGTGCTTCCATTCTTTGGCTCGATAGTTCGTTTTAAGGTTGGGAATGTTCAAATGTTTGGGGGACCAAACATGCTATGTTTGCACCCAATCAAATTTACATTTCTGTTCTTATTTCGAACGATTCACCTTACCTTTTATTATCAAAATGGTTTAAGAGCCGGGGTAACGGTTCTGGTTGAAACTGAAAAAGCTTGCTTGTGATTGCCAAATCACTTATTGGCATCAGAGCTTGGTATTGCTGAGAAACTCTGCTGCACATTACCCTTTTGGTAAAATCAATATGTTCCCGCTTCAGAAGCAAAAGTTTAAGGTAAATTTTCCAGTGTAAACGTAATGCAAAAAAATAAACAAAACTTAACAAACTTTGCAAAATGTCCGCCTTTATTGCGTCTACGAAGGAATGGTTAAACGCCGAAGTATTTACATTTACTACAGAAAAGGAAGATGCGGGCCTTAGCTAAATAACTGCAAATAAAAGGTGACATGTTTCAAAAAAAATTAACAATGCACCTACCTGATTTCAAGAAGACAAATATGTGTTGGTTAGCTGAAACGTACAGTACTTTAAACTTATCATAAGTCGCTCTTAACGCCTAGTAAATTCAAGCAAACATGCTTAATTTTCCAGTGATGTTTCTGATGGCTCACACAACAGTCTTCCATGAATTGGCAGTACTATTTTTCTTACGATTTTTATAAGAGAAAAGAATTTAAATAATTTTTGGTGTGAACCAAGGGACGTTACCTGCTGTTTGTAACGGGTTAATAATTGCGAGATACTGAATGCGGCTAGAAAAAACATGATATTACAGAATATTGCAGAGTTTGCCCTGCGATATTTGTACGACAATTTTCTCTATCTGCCCCGTTGTTATCAGTCAACTCTAATAACAATGTGCGTGTAATTTTTACTTTTATTTCCGCTCTGAAAGACACGACCACGACAGAAAGTAGGAAGTTATATATTAGTTCCTTCTTGTCGCGCGACCTTGAGCTGTTTTACTTGTTTCTGTGGAAGATTTGGGCATTTTCGGATAAAATTAGTAGATATTCACAAAATTATTCCTCGTCATTCCACAAGGTAAAAGAAGACCAGTCCAATATTGGCAGCTATTGTCTCCTGTAACAAACATTTCAAAACAAAGAATAGAGGAAAATTTAATCTTAAAATCTGACCTATCAAACTTTTTCTTCCTACACTTGTAACCCAACAAAAGAGAACTACAAATAGCTATCAACGAAAGGTAAATTCATAGAAAACATTTGACAAAAATTACAAATAGTATAGTTATATTTGACAGGACTAGCAACATGACGATCGCATGCCATTATCTAGGCACAACGCTCTCAGTTGTAACCTGATTAGTGTTTCGAGTGAGTCATTTTCTAAGAAGATTCCCTCTGAAGTTCTTTTTGTTAGTATTCCTTCAGAATCACAAAAATCGCAAAGTTGATAGACCGATCCCACTGCTGTAGGTGGTGAAACCACCCACTTCAGTGCAGCAGCTGGCATGACTTGGCAAATTGAACATTTTAACCAAAGAAACGAGAACAAGTGACGGCGTAATTGCTTTACCTTAAACAATGAGTAGTTAACATCCCGCTCTTGAGATATAATTGATACCACCTCGCAAGTAAACCACACATAGCAAACTTCTGTCAGCCTTTAGGAAATTTGAATCGACGGTATGGCTCCATTCGGCGCTTCTGCCTTCCTCTTCGTCCTTGTGGAGGTGAGGAGAACAAAATTTTATTTTCCACATGTGATCATACGTTTATTTTAATTTGATTTCAAAGTTCGTGCCACATCTCTAATTTTGCATTAGATCTGACCGTTTCCAATGGCTTTCTCTGGTTTTCAGACGATTTTGTTTTGGCGTGTGACAAATGCCTGCCCTGTTCCCAATGGTAAGGTTCCAAATTAAAATACAGATATCGTTTCTGATACAATTCATTACATCAGTGCCTTTTCTTCTTTGCAAAGGAAAATATTGTAATGTATTCACTGACAAATAAAACATCCTAAACCAACACACAATTGACAAATTTTGGAATATTTTTTGATAGGAGCTCTTTGCCACACCGTTTTCATTAGTTCTACACATCTCATCACAACGTTAGCGAGCTCATCTAAGATCTATTTTTTTAAATAAAATGTCTGTGGCTACCTGGAGATCATATCAGTTCAATACTTGTCACTTAAAGCTTGGGAAACTGGAAACGCCTGCAGAAATCACCCCAAGGTCTCTATGTCTTTGATTATCGTAAAACATCTGCGTTGATTCAAAGCTACTTCATTTTAAAATCAATAAAATGAACTCTTTAATTGTCACCTGAGTTTATTCCAGTTTTAATTAAAACGACTTGTGTGTCTTTTTTGTTTCTAGGGCTATGTGCTAATGTCTTTTAGCTTATTTTCTGATAATTTTGTGACGGAAGCAATAAATACATCTAGGTGCAAACTATCCATCGAACTCCAAAGGAAAGTTCATTTTCTTTTATTTGCTTTAACTTTCATTACTTGTTTGATAAACTGTGCAACAGTTTCGCAGTATCTATTGTTGGAAAAAAAAACACTATTTAAATTATCTTGTAAATTTTTCCCTCAGCACATCCCTTTGAATAGGAGCCCCGCCATCGAATGAACATCAAAAAATTTCTTTCATATCGCACTAAAAAATTTACCAACTTCTTAATTCATTAACACCAATTTCTTTCGCGACCGCTTCGAAAACGTACAGATATTTCTATAAAATTTCTTTCATATCGNTTACACCCTTCATTGTTTTCTACAGGTGAGTTAACCTACAACTCAGTGTTGGAGTGTTTGTCAATCGATACAGGAAACGAAACAAGAACGCCGTCCATCACAGTGACCTCATGCCACGATGGCAGCCGTTTATTCACACACCTTGGCTGCTCATCAAATCATTATTTTCCTTTTAATGGTTCACTATGGAATTATCAAGTTGCTCGCTTCAAATTCGACGGCAACATAGTCATAACAAATCTTGTTCACTTAAGAGGGACGAACGCCCTATCGTTGACCGGAGATAATATAACTATAGATTTGAACGGTGTTTTGAAAGTTGATGTAAATGCTGTGCCTTCGTCACATAAAGAAACAAGATTAGTTGGAGGTTTTGTCACTGCAATTGGTGCAAATGGTTAGTGTAGAAAAGTACATTTGTCTTTTAGAGAAAGAAAACTAGGAAAGCCTGATATTCTTCATCACAACTTTCTTCTCCTCCTTTGCGCTGATCATGTTTCTATGTAGCATTTTTCTCTTCTTCTTTGATGAAAGCTACGACAATCTCAGCCTTTTAAGACTCTATTGTAAATTATGCTTTTTTTAACCCAAGAATGCTGAATAGCTTTAAAGTCGTTACCAAACTAAGCTAAAAGATTTACAAGTTTATCTCCGTTTACGTTTGTTATTACCTTTATATCTGTTAATCTACTGTTTAAGTCTAAGGAGTAATATTCAAATTGTATTATTCGATATGAAAAAAATGTTATGTAACAAAATAATGTATTAAGTTTATGTTCCATGCATGCACATTTGATTTTCTCTTTACACCTATATGAAAAAGCTGTTTTAACTTGGTACAAAAAAAACTAATAAAGAACCTTTTACGATCGATATTCCGATTGTGAGGCAAAAGAGTTTTATCTTAGACCTGTTTCAGCACGTTTCCAAAGGCCATGGAATTATATTCTGTGGGTTTTTCTGTACAAGCTAAAATGGATTTATATATTTCTATTACTTTGTGCCGATTTGGTTGAACACTTGTCTCTTACCTCGTCCTGCAGGTAATCCTTACGGAGGACCGGGACGGGGATTGTATTACAACAAAGAAGCAGGAGGGGCTGGTCATGGTGGTTACGGGAAAGGATAGAGAAAGTATTCGTACAGCAAGCCATACGGTCTCAAAGATACCGACCACTATTTGGGAGGAAGCACAGGTATAGTGAATACTTGCGTTAAAGCCTCGGCGTAATAATATAGCTCAGGCATCTGAGATCTTCCCGTCTAAGATTAAGGTATATCATGATCACCTAAAATTCGTAGATCTATAAAAAGTGATCGGCCGACAGGATATTAACAGATTACTATACTATAAAACCAATTGGAGCCCGGCGAAAAAATCATCAAAATAAAGTAACAGAGAACAGAAAACATCTTTTTTATCCTTTTAAAAAAAAAAAGATAGCTTTAGACTTTTTGGCTAAGAAATCCGAAGAGGGCTAAAATTCGCGCATGTTAAGAATCAAGTATTCCCTTACCGTATAATGACGGTTGTCATCAAACAGAATAGGTAGCAAACTTTTATCGTTATGAAATTAAATAAATTCATCTTAGAAAAAGAGTACTTATGGAAATTGGTTTTTAAAGTGAGGCTTTCCAGGCGCAAAGCGTGAATAGTGATGAATAGTTTTTGGTTGTATTTGAGCATGAAGGGATAATGAGCGATGAGAATGGATGATACTGCGATCGTAAATAGTTTTAGCCAGAAGCCTTTTCCAGCTCTCACAGAGCCCTCAGCTAAGGCCTTGCTGCTGCATGTGGCTACACTATATTTGTAGAGCGCAGCGCCTGGAACGAAAAATTTTGTGGGACAGGGGGCAGTTTATCAGGAATATGAAGAAACGGATCTCATTCCTCCAAGTAAAACCCACGACGAAGTCATTGGTTATATGATGGAGGGATTAGCCTTCGATCGCGTGGCTGCTTTACTGAATTAGTACTCTCGACGGACAACTCTTCACTGAACATGGGGGATGGTTTCCGCCAAGATTGTCGAAATGTTAGTAACTGGCACTGACAACAGTCCTTCTCAAGACTACACTCACCGCACAATCAAACTACCTGTTCATAAGCTACAATTATAGCTCCAGTCACTTGTCAAAGAACAGGCACAAAAAGTAAGGAGATGGAGAAAAGAATATCTTCCATCATTCCCGCCTCTCAGGCAGAATGTTGCTATTTCACTCGGCTGTCACCTTACTGTGGTGAAAAATTCCCCGCCATAGTAAGCTACTGACGACAATTTATGCAAATACTTTTAGAAGAATAATAACCCAGAGATAACCAGTTAGCACTACAGCGTATTTACCTTGTAGCTTCAATCACTGACTTTATCATCCATTAGTTAGTTTATTATTTTTTTATTATTAATCAATTGTTTACAGGAGCATTTACAGGTTCAAATGCGCCAGGGTTTGGAGGACAAGCAATTGAACTGAATGCTACTGGAAAGATAGAGATGAGTAAGTCCAATCTGATCTTTAGGTTCCTTCAAAATAAGACGTCCTTACGAAACGAGTTCCAACCTTTCCGTATCAACTTGGTGAAAGAAATCCTTGGCTGAGTCATATTCTAGGTTTACATTGACCGGGACCATTTGATTTCTGTTGTAGCCCAGCATTCTTTACTCGGGGAACATGATAGTACCTTCTTTCCGGCCCCGGAAAGAGTAACATTTTCGTAAGTGTAGTGTTTCCGGCCCGACATTTGACCGATTTACTTGAGATATCAATGAAACGCGAAGTTACATGTACAAAGTGGCGTCCTATTCAGGATCTTTGCTGTCTGCCCCGTAAAATAGGTATTTGGTATTTGCCTCCCTCTCCATCTCCTAGGTAACACAAACGAAGTTTCATCAGTTCTTTCAGCGCAAGTTGTCAACTTCACCAAATCTTAGCCAAACCTCTGACCATATTCTCCTATAGTCCCTCCACTACGATCACTGCAACATGTCGACCATAACTTTACATTGTGTACACAGGACTCTTCATTTATAAGTCTAGTTTACCGGATGCAAACACGAGCTTTAGAGCATAAAAATGTTTACACATGCAATAGGCATACACACAAGCATAAGATGAGACATGTGCTATAGCGTGATTACCCTTCATTGTAAACGATTTCAATTATGATTCCCAACATTATTTGAAAACATATCATTTTGATCCCACAAATAGTTACGAAGCCGGTGAAGGCAGACAGATATTACATATAAAAGACAAAACACATAATAAACACCAACAACTTCGATGATAAATTGTAACGATTTAACAAGTTATGGCATCGATTTAATGAGGAAAATTTGACAAGCTATCAGTTCAGTGAATTGACGGTTTGATGAAAGGTTTTTTGCAAGTGAGCTTAATGCTAAAAAAAACCATAACTTCTCAGCTTTCTGAACATTTGTCACAAGCTTGGGATAAAGGGAAATCTAAGCCAGTAAATGAGGTACATATAGGGGCTAGGGATCGAACAGCAATCAGTTCTGATTTTGCGGTCAAATTTTCTGCCAACAGAACGAAAGATAATTTGTACGCTTTGCTTGATTCGTTGGCGTCGTTGTATCGTACTTGTTAGCGAGGATCATCCAAGAGTACACACACGCACGCGTGCAAGGCGTTTATGCTTACGTAACAGTGATTTACGCGTTATGCATGAGTGATACTGCTACAAAGTAACACAAGAACCCCTCCGTTAACTTCTCTGAAGAAAAGTAAGGGCGAAGCTACTTTGTCAGGGCACGACGGTCTTCATATCCCAATAGCTCAACTCAATACAACACGGAGATAACAAAAGCTATACCTCCACGTTTCATTAGAAAACATCTCTTACTTCTCGCCAGGAGGTTCCATAGAAGCGAATGCCATATCCAATTCAGTTCTTTCAAGCATTTCCAGCAACGAGAAAATAGGAGGAAATTCTGGTGGTTTAGTAAGACTAGTGGCTGAAACGGTAAGTTGAAATGGTGTAGCACTAACTGCCAATTAAAATCGACACGGCAGTGGGGAAATTCGTTACAAAAGCAGCTAAATCATACTTAACTAATCAGGAAAATGTTAAAGTACAAATTAAACGGTCAATTTTGTCTTAATCGTAGGTCCATATTTCGCATGGAGCAAGGATATATGTCAAAGGCAGTAAGGGGATTTGCAATAAGAACAAGTGTGGTGGTGGAAGTGGAGGGATAGTACAGATCATATCCCCTTCGGGATTCATCGCCCCGAACGCCACTATCTTAGGTGGCATTGAAGGAGCAGAGAATGGTTTCCTATACATTAAGGGTGAGTGATTACCATACACATGTTAGCGATACGAAAAAATCAAACCAACGCTCTACGATGCGCATTCGTCAGAAATCATATGGAGCAACCTTCGTCTACGATGCTCGCTAATGAGTAATATTGCACTACATGGATTCAGTTCGTCTGCATGAATAGTCTCAGGGTTGACTCAATACAGAGTCAGTCTTTTCTTCTCTTCATTGATTACTATGCAAAACATCTTGTTGACCAGCAGCTGGTAGAATCTTCAAATCTTACGGCTATTTTAAATAATTATAAGCCATATAACCGGCTGATTGCAGCACTGAATTAAAAGAACCACTCTAATAAATGTTATCTGCAGGTATCAAGGAAGGCCAGTTTGAAAAATTTCCTCATAATCCCTTTTCTTGGGGACAAAGGGCTCCATCTGCAAGAACACTAATTTCGTGTGCGCGTACAGGAATTCCTACCGGTACATTTTCGAGCCATTCATCTATTCAAACAACTACAGCGAAAAGTACTATTTCGACGGTGACATTCCATACCACATCAAAGGTTTCCAGCTCAGGTAAATTAAATAAGACCACAAGATATGCACAAGACATCTCAACGATAACATCACACCAAACCTCTCCAGCCCGCGTAGCAAGCGGTTCGTCGCTTCAGCCTCAACATCCCACAGAGTCAAGCATAAATGGTTGGTAGATAAATACATTATTATGACGCACACTAAAATTTCAAAGTTTAAGATTATCGATAGCTGGTTATTTTAAACCTCACCCCTCTTTCAAACTGGTGTGAAGGGCGTCAATTCATCAGGTCTCGGTGCATTTTGTGGCAGCTGGAAGAAAAGGATTTTAGAGGAAAAGTTAAAAAAAACTTAATAGGTGAAAAGTCTCGGGCGTATGGAACAGTTTGATATATAATTTGTGAAAAAAATCACCCAACTTTAAACGACATCTACATAAAACGTTCCTAGCGTCGTTGCTTTCAAAGTTATTATGTGGATGATCAAGTAACGGACTTCATGAACGCTTTTCGCCATATCTGTTTTTCCCTTTGATGAATTTTTTTTAATTTCTCCAATTTAAAGGGAATACTTTGTTTACCAAAATTATGCACAAAAAAAAAAGAAAGAAAAGAAAAAAAAAAGGGACACCGTGCCTGTTTAAGAGCTAAAGACTATCGCAGCCTTTAACCTGGTCCATTGACTGCGCGCGCTTATTCGCCTGATTACGTGTTTCTTATGCGCAGCGTAGGATGCGCAGTGCAATATTGAGGAATCACCTGAAACAACTTTGTACTCATAGTACATTCAATTTTGAAATACGGTTGTTTTACTGTTACAGTGCCGCCTTTTAAGAAAGAAACCGTTGATGATTTACAACAACTTCTTGAAAAAGTAAAGTCGTACAAGGTAAATATGAAAGACTCTTTTTCTGTTAGTTCATGGTAATCATCATAGAGAGACATTTTTAACCTGTTTCTTTTTCCCTTCCAAAGACTACCACCGTCTGAAAATAGAATATAATGCAACATACAACACTGTACTAGACATATTTTTATCCCTTAGGAAAGTACCACGTGAATGCACAGAGTATGTCTAAGTGAATAAGTTACTGACGAGTTTGTTTTATTCAGATTACAATTATTTTTTGATGACTTTTTGATTCGATGGCCATAGACAACTTAACGTAAGGACCCCGTTATGTAACGCGACATTTCATTCTAAGGTCTTGCTTTTCAACTTTTTTTTTTAAGGAGAATAATGCCAACGTTCCCAATCAGCTGGAAACCATAACACAGTTTCTGGAATCGTTCAGAACTTTAACGGTTGTCGGGAACTTAACAACGAACATTATAACAATCAGCATATCCTTGATTGGAGAGTTAAATGAACTGATGTTATCCGAGGTAATGTCGGACCGTCACTCTGAATTATAGGTAAACTAGGTATGAATAAGCACTTTGCACACGTTTTACGGAGGAAAACAAGTCATGGTTTGTTAAAGACTGTAACACCCAGGAAATACTTGAATATGTCAATACTACTGTACTTGGGGCGATATGAACAACGAAAGTTCAAATGAGTTTCAGTTCAGGGCGCCGTACAATTCTCCTAACCGAATCACTCGGAGTTGAACGGGAAAGATATGTTTGCCAAAAGAAAAATGCGGTGCATCACTTGTACGAAACATTTAAGCTGAGATAATAATAGAAACACTAAAATTGTCCGAGCCTAGGGTCTGGACGACCAGTCTCAACGCTAGCTCAAAGTACATTGTTCGAGACAAAATCAACTACTCAACTGACTTGTTCCAAGAGCGACGATATCCAGCCTACACAAAAATGAACCGTGCATTGTTAAAATGATTCAGCAAACTGTCGTGTAATAGCCTGCTATGTAAAAGTGGGGTTTTTCTCCCTTACATTGGGATATTTCAAAGTAGCACTCGAGTTTTTTAAAAATTCTTTTACTTGCGCATTTTACTTCATATCATCATTTTTTTCTTCATTTCACCCCACGATGGCTAATTAAAATCATTTTGTGTAGTTTAGACCATGTATCTTAGTTCTTCTGTTGCCATATTTATATTGGTGAAAAACTTCATTCTTGCGGTGTAAACTAAAATATAAGAAAAAGAAATTAAGGTAATAAAAAACTAGATCAGATTTATGCGCGTTTTTACAATCTATGTACATGTACATATAAGTTGATTGTCTAAGCCGCAAAAATCCCTTAACTGAAGTTTTCACCATTGCTTTTATTTTTCTTAGAAGCTCATTTCTAATTTACTCAACACTATTGATGAACTTTTGGACTACAAACACACAGCAGTATGGCGCAGCAGCGGAATGGTGAGGATATTATAATTTCTGAACAGCAAATAATTTACTTATTTGACCACGCATCTTGAACACATAACTTAAGCAAACACAGTAACGTGTTGATTAATATTGGATTTGATTAAGATTCATTGAAACAAACTGAACCATTGATTAACAAGTTACTACGTCTAAGTAAGAAGTTTGTTTCGTTTAGTGCAGCATGTAAACCAGTCCTCAAAGAATCACGGAAGCTGTAATTTTAATCAAATATGTCCATAGCACTCTGAGCAGTTATTTAAATGAATACGAGTATTCAAGGTAGTCCAGGATGAATTGCTCTATGTTGTCAGCACTCTTTCATCTTTAAACTTTAAGTAAATACATGTACGGGGCAAATTCTTCAGGAACATATCAGTTTCTTAAATTTGCAATGAATATTTATGTCTCAACTCATATTAACCTGATCTTGGACACAAAAGATCAATTCAACCTGATCTATATGAATTTCGTGTCTCAGGTTCAGAAAATCAAGATGTCATAGTCTACTGTACCGTCCCAATGAATTTTTCTCCCTGAGGTTAAGGGTAAAGTAATTGAAAGGGATACACAGCTATACTGGCTCGAGATTTCTTTCGAAATAGTTAGCTCACGAAAAAGGAGCGAATAGTTTATGGCCCAGAGGTTCGTAAGGGTTCCCGTGTTTCAATTTCTGCGATAAACACACGGGAAAAAGACAATTCAATAAACTTCTGTACCATCGAGGTTCTCTAGATGTGATAGAATTAATGTACATGTTGAGCAATGGAATATAATATTACCAACTTCAATTTCAAATTTTTAAACGTCGGCTAAAACTCAAAGGCCATAGGAGCTAAAGATCATTCATTAACTTTCTTCCAACTAACAGTTCATGGATCTTGTGGAAGTTGTGGAAAAGACAGCTTCCTTAGCAATGAATTATACGTCTGCCACCAACCAAAGCGTGATGTTAATCAAGAGAAACCTAGGTGAGAAATAACTTTCTTTTTGAACGAAAGGCATATCAAATATCCTCTAATCAACTAGGAAAAAAAAGATTTTCGACTGGAAAAGGGATATTCCCCAACATCATGCCAGCTAAGACCTCAGAGTTTACAGTGTTTAATCATCTCAATTATCTTGTGCAGTTGTCTTAAACACTTGGCTTGTATTCTGAAGTTGATTTATCATATCACTCTGGAAACTCCTTTTTCTTCTTAGAAATACATTCAATAATGCAATACGTCAATCCAAACAGCAATGTGACTATTCCCAATTCTAACAAACAACCTCGGTCAACACCTTTAATAACTCTTCAAGCAAGCGGATTACCCATGGACATCACTAAAGAAACAAAAGAAGGTAGGAGGTCAATTATTCGCTGCAGGACTCACTCTATACCAAAATATCATAGTTTGTAAACTTCCATTCTGCCAAAAATACTGCGACTGAAAACCACGACAGAATCTTTGAAAACACTGTCCAAGGGATTGAAGTTCTCAACGCAGAGGTGTGAGTATGGTCACCGGTAACAGCATTGCGAACTGTTCAGTGAAATTTCGCTAAACAGTTGTATATGCAAGTGTTGTGCCGGGAGTGTCAAACATCCATGCTGTCGTTAACATTTTCTTGGTAATAACTTTGCTCTTCTTCGTTATACGTTTGATGATAGGTCGCCTTGTTGTTAGCATGGTAATCTACAAAAATCAAACATCCCACTTCACAAACAGGACAACCTCCGCGAAAATAGATGGGTGAGGAAAATCCACCATTTTTGTTTACATATCCTTTCTCATGGATCACATGTTCTGTTAGCAGCTGAGAAACAAGACACCCAATAGGGACATACAAGACGAGTGAATTAAATCAAGCCTGAATTGTCTAGCGAGATCAATCTTAGGGAGAAAAAGGAAACCACAGACAGTAGCGCGAACATTTTCTGTCATGGATGGACGCAACCGAAATAATGGGTCCACAAATTAATATTTAAAAACAGAATCGAACAATAAAAATACTTAAAGGTGGTTTCAAAATCTCTACACTTTACCAATTCCACAGAAAAGCTTTGTGATTTTATTTTACAATTGATATGTATTCATTACACACATGTATTGTAGTCGGAGGTTATTGTTGCAGGGATCCAAGTTGTCTTACTCCATCATCACCAATAACTGATGGTGAAAGTAAGTTATCATCTGCTATTTGCATTCTATTCTTCTGATATAGTAGGCATTTGCAAGAAGCTATTATCAACTCAGAAATCATCTCAGTTTTGGTGTTTTTTGACGGACGACCTCTCTCTTTCCTTCGAAAGGAAGCCTTTTTGACCTTTGGTAGCAAGGTTTGTATGCAAACGTGTATATCAAAAATTCTAGCTATTCTATTCTGGCAAAAATTCGAAATTTAACTTTGAGTTTAAAAATCAATCCATTCCACAGACACAAATTGGAGGAAATTCAAAGTGTGTCTACTGGAAGTCCCTTCCTGGGTAAGCACTTACCATGATGTTTAGATCATGTACGCTTATTATGGTTTCACTAATCGCTTACTATTGTTTTCGAAGGCAGGGAGAGTGGTCATCAAATGGCTTATCTCTGATCAAGAGTGACAGTGAGAGGACTATTTGTTCAACAAATCATTTCACAAGCTTTGCCGTGATAATGAGTTTCACAGAAGTCGATGTAAGTACTTTAACTCAAATACAGGCCAACATTTCCCAAGAAACCTTTGCCTGTAAGCTCTCTATTGAACGGTTGTTATGATCCACGCCATTCCCATCTTTTTGTTTTCCTTGCGTTGCATAAACCGATACCAAGGGGAAAATGAATGGTTGTTCGCGTTTCATTGCCGTTTTTTTTTTTCCATTCCATCATAGCATTATATTCTTTTTATTTCATTTCAAGTTTAAAATTTCCGTAATCACTAACATAACATAACATAACGTACCCATATTAACCTCACGCCACTGTCCCTTAAAACCGTTATAAACTACTCGCTGCTGGCGTTTCTCGAGAAACTAGCAGAAATTGTCTTGGTTAAGCAAAACGAGTCAAGCTATAATCAGAATATCTTTCACAAATTGACATTCTAAAAATTCAGCGATAACGTTTGGTTAATTGTAATCAAACTGTACTGCGTAATGTGGCGTAATAAGATAAACATCATCATAGCACTCTGTAGACTATTTTTCAATGTTCATTTATTCATAATTTATCACCTGTTTATCTATGCAACGTTTTATTATTGAGGTGTCTCCAAAAGATGAGTTTGCACTGGGGATTATCACTTACATTGGGTGCACAATATCACTGGTAGCTCTTGCCTCTGCCATAATGATATTTCTATGTCTAAGGTTTGTGATTTTTTTCTTCAGTTCTTTGCTATAGGTCAATAATAGATTGCATAATACAAGCTCAAGCTATTATAATGAAAATGCCGGGTTTGGACGTTTCCGTAATTGTTTTTTCTTAATATGATAAGAATCTGGTTGGAACTTCTTTCATTTAAAAGAGCAGGGTCTTGAGCCTCCACTGAGCGAATGGTAACAAAGTAAAATTCCGTGCAATCAATCAGCGACCAGACGAAATATTTTCGCGAAAATTAATACTTTCTAGTCAGATACTTTCACAGACTGTCTTCGGAACGTGGAATGAACATTTTCGCATTTGTCTTCTTTTAGGTCGTTAACTGACATCAGATACCAAATTCATCTCCATTTATGCATTGCCTTGGCAATGGCTCAAGTAGTTTTTCTAGTGGGAATAACAGCGACAGAAAGGAAGGTAAGATCTATGTATCTCTCTCAATGAGGGAAAAAAATGATTTCACCTACGACAATTTTGAAACATTGCCTTTTTCAAAACTCTTTTTTTCCCACTAAAGCATATCATAATTTTTGAATACAGCATATGATAACTGAAAAAGAGTCGGGCACAACGCAAAGTCGTGTCCTTCAGACAGCTAGGATAACGTTCTCTGGCTGTAGATCCAGGACAATCATTCGGCATTCAGTCGCCAAAAGTAACTCTGTCTTCCACAATAATGTGTGAATTTTGCGTCAAACAGACGAAAACATCAGAAGAGTTTACACAAAGCACAAAATAATTCACACTTTTTTATATGCGTACATGCTCGAAAGCTTGATACACACAAAGTTATGGGATTAATTATTTTCATCATCATCTTATTTTCCAGTGGTTATGAAGATTAGTAGCTGTTCTCCTGCATTACCTGTACACCGCAAGCTTCATGTGGATGAGTGCAGAAGGACTGCATCTTTATTTTAAGATCGTCACTGTCTTTAACCTCCAAAATCTCAAATTCATCTACTACGTTGTTTTTTGTTGGGGTGAGTACATATTATAGCTTTTGGACAAAACATGCATTCATGCGTGTATATCTTAGCGGATTGTTTAAAATATATCACTGACGTTTTCCATGAAAGAAGACTTTTTTCCTCTCAGCTAAAAAAAATTATGACTAAGGAAAACGTGAATCGTTTTTCCCCTTTTCTTCACCAAGTCTGTTCGTTTTTTCTCTTGGGAAAACTAGTCAGATCTACATCCTAAAAGAAAAAGGAATTGATGAAAAAGTCACGTCCTCGTTACAGACAAACAAATTCTACTCTCTACTAAAAAAAAAGAAGATTGGACCATAAGCAGAATAGCGGTTAAAACAGCGAAAATTCAAAAGTAAAGACAGTAGATCTTAGAAAAAAGGCATATGAGATTTATCTATATCATTAATAGATATCGTACTGCACAATATACAACAAGGGTAGTCTGTTTACATCTTTTACTCAGTTAATAAAATGGTAAGTCGGAATTAAATCTGATGCCGTAATATCCAAAATGGAAGCTTCTTTTTGGTTTCATTGCTTTCTCAGGGTCTCCTATCATAGTTGTTGGAATATCTGCCGTTACCAGAACTGAAGGATATGGTACAGGAAATACGTATGTAATACTGCTGATCTTCAAGCTAAAATTGGTGTTCGATAACGAATTCATATTATTTCAAAACACATAGGATTTTTATATACAATTTTCTTTTGGGGACCGAGGAAATCCTACCTGAACTTAAAACAACTTACCTGTATTTTCATCAGGCAGCACTAACTCCGACTCTCGTCCATTTTTACGGCACCTTGAATCTAATTTTTTTCTTTGAGGCAAACAAGCCATTTGGGTGTGACCAGATCAAGTTCAGAAAATTCTTAAGTCATGATAAATACAGTTCAACTTGTCTACCACAGCCCCCACGGGACAGAATCATCTAACCCTTCTAGAGAGGTGGCCTTGAATTGAGACGTATGAGGCAACGATAAGGCACCGAAATCACACTTTCATAATAAAGTGAACTTTCATTAGGTGCTGGTTATCATTGGACAAGGGACTCATTTGGTCGTTTGTTGGACCAGTCGCAGCCATAATTTTGGTGAGTATTTCCACGACCAGACATATTTTGGTAATTTTTGATCCTAACACTATTTACTTTCCAAGTTTAATCTCTTCATGCTTGGAATGACGATAAAAGTTTTGGTTTCCTTGACTGAAGTAGCCGAAAGTGCCGCACATAAAAACTCCTTAAGGTAAAACTTTATTTACAATACTACATTGATGAGGTTGCATTGCTCTTCTTGTTGGTAAATGTGATGATTACTTGTTTTGTATTATTTATTCTTAACTAAGAAAACCGTAAGTCCTTGTTATTTTAAACAACTACTTTGAAAACTTGCATTTAATTTTTATTTTGGCCGTAAGTCACGGGTTGGTTGCTGGATGGTGACGTTTCTAATCAACATTTGTCAAAAACCGTTCGAAAAAATTCACTAACAAAGAAGATACCCCACTTTTAAAGTAAACTAACGATCTGCCGTAAGATGCTAACTCCTAAAGAGGACAAGTGGTCTTCCACAGCAAATTAAAATGTACGTGAGTAAAATACCCAATTTTGTGACACCTTGTGCCATTGAAAACCACCGATTCAAGCTTTGCGTACCATCTCTGATCTGATTATTTACGTGGTGAGGAGTTTCACGTGTTTATTTTATTTCGTGAAGAATTCCCGTCATACTTTTCACCCTCGTCCCAACGTATGATCTCAATGTGTCACTAGTCTCCTGAATTATTATATATATTCTGCCCTCTAGATCATGTGTGAAGGCAGCTTTGATCCTGATGCCATTGCTGGGAATATCGTGGCTTTTTGGCCTTTTGAGCGTCAACTCTGGAACCATTGCATTTCAGTACTTGTTTGCTATAGTTAACTCCTCACAGGCACGTTTCAACTCCAACAGATATGACACAATGATTAAGTAACAAGTTTTAATCGTTAAAAATGTTTATAACATCGGTTTTGANTTTAGGTGCACTTTAAAAGCGGGGTATCTTCTTTGTTAGTGAATTTTTTCGAACGGTTTTTGACAAACTAACGATCTGCCGTAAGATGCTAACTCCTAAAGAGGACAAGTGCTCTTCCACAGCAAATCAAAATGTACGTGAGTAAAATACCCAATTTTGTGACACCTTGTGCCATTGAAAACCACCGATTCAAGCTTTGCGTACCATCTCTGATCTGATTATTTACGTGGTGAAGAGTTTCACGTGTTTATTTTATTTCGTGAAGATTTCCCGTCATACTTTTCACCCTCGTCCCAACGTATGATCTCAATGTGTCACTAGTCTCCTGAATTATTATATATATTCTGCCCTCTAGATCATGTGTGAAGGCAGCTTTGATCCTGATGCCATTGCTGGGAATATCGTGGCTTTTTGGCCTTTTGAGCGTCAACTCTGGAACCATTGCATTTCAGTACTTGTTTGCTATAGTTAACTCCTCACAGGTACGTTTCAACTCCAACAGATATGACACAATGATTACGTAACAAGTTTTTATCGTTAAAAATGTTTATAACATCGGTTTTGATAGGCGGAGCATTTGAGGATACCAAAAATGCACTGTATAGAGATAAATGGTAAAAAAAGAGGATGAAAGCTATTATATGTATGGATGGTTTGTCTTTTAACTTATGGGAATACGAGTATGGTGTTAATATCCAAATTACTTCGCCAGTATCGATAACAAAGTATAGTTACGGGTTCAGCAAGTGACGAAGCTGTGTACCCGGGTCCATCAGTTTGATGCTCCTAGGAACCTTACGTCAAATATTACCTGTATATTTACCTGTTCTGCTAAACTTATTGCAATTTAATTTTTTTGTCGTGTCTATTTAAGAAAACCACAAGGACTGTCACACTAATTAATGAAAGCAAGAATCTGCGTATTTTCTTGCCGAGATTTCACTTAGGGACACCCTTCAAATATTTTCCTTTTTTTTCAGGGTTTCTTCATCTTTAGTTTCCACTGCATTGGCAACACAGAGGTGAGCTAACGGATTAAAGAATCTCCATTTATGAAGAATAACTGCGTCGTTGAAACAAAATAGAAATTCAAATTAAGTTTACCACAAGCCAAACTGCTTCCTCCTCCGAACTGAAATAATATTGAAATTGGCTACAAAAAGGTACGATTAAAATAAGATTGTTACTGTAACGATTGCATGAAATCTTCTTAACATTAAGATGACCAAATCATGTAAATTCAAATAACTTATTATCTCTTAGTTTTTGTGACCTTTCACTCTAATTCGTCCCAGGTTCGTGCAGCTTTGGTTAGATTGAAGAAGAGACATTCCGTGAAAGTTTCAACTCAAAATGTAAGTTAGAATTACCCAAAAACCTTTATCAGTCTGTATTGAGAGTCAATTTGTTGAAGAAGTTTTTTTTTTTTTATAGAACCTAATTTAGAGCTGTTCTCAACAGGTATCCTTGGAGAAAATGAGGACCAAATCGAAAGGTAAGGTTTCTCCCTTACTATTTCTGCTTAACATAATTTTACTTTTTACTTACTTTTAAGGGCCAAAAAGAATTGATAGTTGTTTAAAACGTTCTTTCAAATACTTGCAACAGAATTATTTTAATACTGTCTTTCAACCTCAATTAACTGGAGTGCTTTAAGATTTTTCAGTTATCATCATTGTTAAAACTTCATTTGATTTTCCCTGCAGTACTTAAACAATCGGAAGACCTGGGAAATCCAAAAACAAACATAGCGAATGTGACAGAGAGCCCATGAATAGATATTCCATTTCAACCAAGAAACAGTGGGGACCATATTTTTCACATTGACTAAAACAGAAAAGCTAACTCCAGGTCTGCAACGAGGTGTAACGTTAGAGAATCTTGTGCAAGGATTTCTTTCATCAGCAACGTCATCTCCAAAAAATAAAATAAAAAATAAAAAAAGTTAAAAGGATGAATGTAGATATAAAGTTTCAATATTAATTACTTTGCTGGATTGTGTGATGCCCGGATGTGAATCAAGAATCAAAGCCCAAAAAATTGAAAAAAAAAATTAAACTTCTCAGGTACATACTAATGTGCGCAGCGTGTATCCTCACCAGTCTGTATGGGTATCATTAAGTTATGGTGAAACCGAACTCTTTCAACTCCCACTTTAGACACTTTACGCGGACATTCGGAAACAAAGGTTTCGTTTGTCCTTCGAAACACTTTACGCGGACATTCGGAAACAAAGGTTTCGTTTGTCCTTCGAAACGTTCCTGTCACATTATCGTTAAAGTTAACGTGCTCAATACAGGCAATTGAAACTTCCATGTGTGCTATGTCCGTACACCAGGGTTAAAAAACTGCAGAATAGGGCAGTCTCTTGATAAAGAAGCCACGAAGGTAAAACAAATATTCCACTCAAATATAAACAGTGGCAAAGAAGTTACTTGCAATTTTAATTTTTACAATAACCGCAGAAATTCTCACGCGCTTTATTGGTCGAGAGCCATTGTCAATAAGGTCATAGACCACAAAAATGACGTATCATGTCACGCAATGCTCAGCAATCTGTCGGAGAAAACTTTCTTCGCGCGGAAACATTTGCAGATATTAGAAATATGGACAGCGAGATAAGACGTCAAAGACTTCAAAAGAAAAGTAAAAGACGTCAAAACATTGCGGTAAAACCACTTGGCTACGCCTCGAGGTTTCACTTTAGTTTTGAACATTGTTGACATCATTTCTACGATCAATAAAGGACAATAAGGATATAGACGACGTCAATTTGATAAACTGTGTTTCCCGTGAATCTTATGTCCAACATATCAGAATTAAAGAAGAAGGAGAAAATCACCTCATTATTTAGTCTTAAAAATTAATTCAATGCCCTCCTAGTTAAAAGAATAAAACTTTTCATTGGAAAGAGATACGTGTCAAAAGTATTTTGAGCAAATGCGTTTTAAAGGCCGCGTTAAATTTATCTATCAGCTTAGATTATGATTCTATATTATGTATTGCAAATATGCATTCTCTCGAGCATGTAAGTTACGATCAATCTATAATCTTACTCTTTAATTGTACAAAGGAAAATAAGCCTGACTACATCTCTGATCTTTCCGTGTATCGTACGACCCATTGGAATTTAAGGAATAGCGGCCACAATCTTGTTAAACGCATCTATCATAATCGGTACTATCATGAAATTTGGTCATTCACTCACAAGATATTGTATTTGTGAAATCAGCTCCTGACACATTTAATCAATCAACAAACTTGAGTGACTTTCGCAGGAAATTTAGGACATTTGATTTTTCAAACTTAAAGACCAGTTGCAAATGTATCTAAAGCTTGTCTTTGATATTTTAAATTCTTTTAGCCTGATATTTTCAATTGTAGCTAGATATTTTCAATCATGGCTAGTATTTTTATATTTGACTTTGTTTACTCTCTTATTAATGACCCTGTGGCTCAGATACACGGGGTAACCTGATCCCACGCATTGATATCAGCAAATACGCAGATATCAGGAATGAATTCGTCACGTTATATGAACGACAGGATGGATTGCTACCTGATCTGATCCACTTCACACGGGAAAGGATAGCAAACTCTAAGGATCGTGGGCGGAAAAGTACCCATATTCGTTCTTCAAATTGTTTACACGAATAAGCTTTCCGGATTCAAAAGCTTTCGGATTCGAAGTTCCAACTTGAAATTTCGGAATCAAAATCTCCGCAGACACACCCAACGAGGGAAGGTTTTATTTCGGACTTATCTACCTGTGTGTAAATGGCAAAACACATTCGCTGGTAAAACGTAACAAATTTGTCACGAATCCGGAACAATTTTGAATGTTTAAACCTAGTCTCATTTTTTTAACACCAATATAAAGAAAGAAACTTGCATCAAGTTCCATGCAAAATGAACTTTCAATGATTACAAACATGAATCTGAAGAGTTTAAATATACAAAAACATTCTACCAGTTGAATGCATTTAAATAAAATTTGTTTTCCGGTAAATCATATCGAGACCATAATCGAATCAAATTTTTAAAATATCAGTTTCCTCATTATTTAAGGGAGGTTATACACATCAATAGCAAACCTCACGACCTTGTGGCCATTTATACAACAATAACTAAAATCCGATGAGTTGATAAGACGTAAATTCCTTAAAATTATTCTGGTCATCATCAGTTTCCAAGAGCTGATAAGGACGCAACTCTTCATCTTCTACGTACAAACGGGGCAGAAACAGAAACTAACAAACGACGAAAACTTAGACGAAACATGAACAAATGAGGTAAAAACTTAGTACTCATGATGATAACAGATTGGAATATCGAAGGTTGCCACATCAGAACGTTTCTCAAGAATTCAACACATCCTTTGCAAGAATTTGTTGATGCCATTTATGCCAAAGGCTTTTCGGTACTAACAAAAGAGGGCCGATTTAAAAATTTCACCAAAATCTTCGTCCAAAAGAACAATGCACAAAATGTTGGTTTAGATCCACATTCAGCTCTCATCAAGCAATTGCAGACGGGTTTGTAGTTTATTTTTAGCGGGGCTCCCACGCGCGCTTCGCGCGTCGCGCGCGTGGGGCAGAGCCCCATACTCATGGAATATGATCAACCTCTTTTCGTTTGGTTGTCACGTGACTGACCGAGCGTACGTACGTACGTACATGCCTTCAGATTGCACGGGTAGGGTAGGGTAGGGTAGGGGAGACTATCAAAACGAAGGGAGGGGTGTCTCAGGCGAGTCTTGGAAAATGCACATCTTATATGTTATCATTAATATTACGTACTTGGGAGCTCCGCTTTTAGGCTTGGCTAAATCTATATATTATGCCGCTTTCAAAGTAATCCCACAATGTCCACTCAAAGAGAATGCCTTGCATTATCAAGTTGGCCTTGATACAAAGATTTCACCCACAGTATATGTGTAACTTATCTTTCGACTGGGCATAGTGTAAAAATCACGGTCAAGGAATTTCATCGTAACCAAAGTATGTCTCTCGTGGAGCGTTGACTATAAGGTGCGCGACGAAGTCGGAGTTGAACTCGTTTTGCGAATCAACTTAGTTCAACTTAAAATCATTTCCAAACACGGTGTTCGGCGTATTTTTTACCAACTGTAACAAAAATAAGTTTTCTGAAAGAAAAGAGTTGAAAATGCTTGTTGTAGTGTAAGAAAGCATTACACCTCAATTTCCTTCTGAGCTGACATAGTTACACCGAAATAGGGTCAAGGTGTTGAGATTGGCACCTTCGAGCACAACATGTAACACAAAATACAAGCAAAAGTGTTCAAAAAAAGACTTGCTACAACTTTATTGGAATATCACCATCGGCCCCTTTTCCCTCATTCCACTGCCAATGAGGTGGCAAAGTTTCAAAGAGGGCTGTACCATTATAGGCACCTACCAGTACAATTTCTAACATAAACACAGACGTCCAAATATTTCACAACGATTTGTGGCGTGACATATAACGACAAAACAATGAGGACCTGTCACAAGTATATTTGCAATAGAACAACGGTCTATTAAGTCGAGCGTGAACAAGGGTCAAGCGAAAAGCTTCGGTTCACTGGTGGGTGAGGAAAATGAATAATAAGTAGGCGCCTAAAATATATACATTTAACATACTTAACCTCATTTCCCTACTCTGAACCATCCACTAACTTTCGATCCATACTGAACCAATATGTTTTTCTACAAGAGTATCAGAAAAATACTCAGTTGTGACCAAAGAAATCGTCGACAAAGCCATAAAGAACCAGAATAAAAGACACTTCAAAGGACCACTGTTTGAATAAAGTAAACTCAAAAGTGTCGACGCCAAAATTTCAAGTCTGCTACATTCCTGAAAACTCTACCACAAAATAAATCTCACTGAGTTTGGCTAGGAATGCATTCTTCACAAGGAAACCTTGCTGGAATTTGTCGAATTGCTCGGATAAAATCTTTCAAAAACATGATTGTAGAGTTGAACACACTTGGATCGGTAGTAATCCCTTTCATCGAGAATCACTTTTAAATCTCTTCTCGTTGCCGACACCTCATTTTCTAACGACTGATTTTCTTCTATAATGGTTTCTCTCTTTTGAACGCTCTTCCGTCGACACTTCAAAGCCTAACAGCGGTTTTTAACAGCTCTTCTCCTTTTCTTGAGCTTCTGGGCTTGTTGCTTGGGAATGTTTCGAGTGTATTTATTTAACTGTTTCGTTGTCATCTTTTCAAGTTCCTTATCGCTCAAAGCCCGAAGAGATCCTGCTTCCCCATTCCTCTTCTTGACATTCCGTTTCGAAACAACCTTTTGCCTTACTGTGTCTGGGAATGACAAACTTGACTCGGAATTTCGCGTGTTTATGTGTTTAAAGTCTCCCATTCTATCCGCGACGACACCTGGACTTAGCTTGACCTCGTACTCTGGTTAGTAGGTATATAGGAGGGTGGAAATAAACTCGACGAAGAACTGAATTTGCCTTAAACAGATATACAATCGCAAATAAGAACTACGAGACTTCCGGGATTTGTTTTGAAAGCGAAAGCTTTCAACCTGCGTCACTCAGGTCAAGCGTATTGCTTTTATGAATACAAAGGGAAACCCCCTTTCTCAATGCCTCACTTGATTAATTGATTGATTGACTGATTTGGAATGCTGCATCATAAGTCGATAATAATTATAAGCGTTGCGACAACTGTAGCGTAGTTATCCGCTGCTAAAAAGTACTTCTCCCATAGATATGTGACAATTTTTCCGGGAACTGATGTATATGACCACAAAGGCCACTTATTTCAAGACGACTACAAAAATAGACGTAACTCTGATCCTCGTTGAAAATGCTTCACTTTGTATGTTAGAGTGTATAAAGGGGGTGTACAATTTACCCAAAGAAAGATAAATCAGGTAGGTAATGTCATAATGTTACTCTATAACATTAGGGAAACATAACTTTCTTAAAAAATTAAGTAGGTGTACCTTACTCCTCATTTGCCGGAAATGTTTTGGAAAAGAGATAGCATTTATTATATTTGGCTATCTCCATTCTCCCTCGAGGACTCCAATGAGGGAGTATTTTTAAAGCCGGTAGGTTTTGAAGAGAAATATTTGAGTTTTTTAATACCTTAGCATTACTACAATGACCATAACTTTAAATTGGATTGATCATTCCATCCAAACAGTAAAGGTGTAACAGAGAATGACTTGTTCTCTAAATCATTTTTATTTTTCCATCTTCAATAAATTGTGTCTTGGTGTGTGACCAACGTCATGAATTAAGAAAAATAGACCTTTAGGCAAAAATTGTTGACATTTTGTCTGGTTTCGGTTTCGAAAAGGTGCACCACTTCCGCTTTCGACGCTTTTCACACAAAAAGAAAATTGTGGTTACAGCACTACACCCAAGCATACAAACAGCTATCAAAGAAAGTCTCACAAGTACGTTTTTGTGTCGCAAAAGTAGCATAATATGAGTACGAAGTCGCAAGTCTCGTCTTATTTTTGTTTATATTAATGATCCTAATCCATAATCGCCGAAGCGAGCACAATATCAAGCTTTTTCCAACAAAGAACTGCTATGGAAATAAAGGTTTATTAGCAAAACAAGAACACTTTCGTTTGACTGAACTAACGTACTTGAAGCAACAATCTTCCCCGCAACTGCATCAAGAGGTTTTGTTATTTTACAGTAGTGGCGTACAGCGATTAAACCGGAGTTCCGGTTTTAATGTAGGTGTTGAGATCTCTACCAAGACCAGCTCAGTGTCAACTGTTTGTTCGTCTACAATGGACTTTGTGACACAAATGTTGGTCTCCAGCTCCTGTAGACTATTGTTTCATGCCAGGTTCTCTAATTCCAGAAAGAAGTTTGGGGGAACAAGATGTTTCATCATTAATTCCTTTCTGCAATCTGACTGTAGCTGCAGAAACTTTTTCTTGTATTCACTTCTCTCTTTTAATACCTTGCAAAGCTTCTCTCTGTCATCTTCCAACTGCTTCTTTAACAACTGATTTTCGTTGAAAAGATCCTCCTGAAACTGTTGCCGACGTCTACGACAAGTCAAAGCATAACCTCGATTCTTGAGGTTACGACGCTTGCGCCGTATTTTGGCAGCTTCTTCTCTGGGCATTCCCCGAAGAAGCTTGTTTAGCTCCTGAACTCGAAGATTCTTAATTTCTTCGTCAGAAAGATCTTTGATTTTTCTTTGGCTTGTGGCAGTTGAGACTACATCTTCAATCTTCCCTCCCCAATTAAACAGGTCTTTTATGTCGTCATCTGAGTCGCTCTTGATGTCTTCTTCAAACAGTAAGTTGTTCACTGACCATGGTGTATCACTGATATCCACTGGCTCGGAAAACACGTTGTCGTACAGCAACCTTTCATCCATTTTCTTCTTAGTTTGTTATAGAAGCTCCCAAGCGTTCAAAATAATTCAAGAATGAAGGACAACACTGTGTTTTCTTCATAAAATATGAAAGAAATCCAGTCATAACCAATCAGAACCGCAGTATGGAAGGGAAAATTCCCTCCGATAGGGGATTACCCTTTCCCGACGTCATGCACAAGTCGATTTCGCTGAAATGACTTAAATTTCCGAGAAACATAGTGATTTATTAAAATTATTGTTATTTAGCATTTAATGATTCGCCTGACAGTTTAAAGGGCTATGTTTTTTGCATAGTATCAATTTTCTTGCAACAAACCACATTAGAGAGCCTTTTTGCAGCGAAATATATATCGTGACGGTGAAAACGGAGGAAAATAAGCGAAAACTATATGGATTGACATGCCACATACAGCTTTGACCAGATACTCATCCGGTTACTGTTCCTGAGACTGAAAGAGGGTAAAATGTAGGAAAATTAGGGTAAGTGTTTGTAAATCTTGTTTGAGCAGGATAGCAAAAGAGTCGCCAGTTTGGCAATAAATCTAATGTTTCCTTAAGATAACAGTATTAAATAACAGCTAAATTATAATCGGGCCAGTTGATTTAGTCTCAAGCCAATGAGGCTTGCAAAGATCACAAAATTTTGATTTATGCGGGTCATTTAGGCTCCACTGCTTATTGTTCTCTTATGAAAGGAACAAGTGTGCAAATTTTTTCAATTATGTTGCTTAATGGATAGCCAAGCATTTCGCCCTACCGTGTCAAAAGAAATGATTCACTTTCCGACCGGAAACAGCTAACAAAAAGTATCTTGCTTCCAGAAAATATAGCGGAAAATGGGTGTTTTTCGGATAACAACTAAGCGTGGCGGTCCTTTCAAGCATGAATGCTCTATAATAGCGTCGGAATTTCTGGAGAATGAGAAAAAATTTGACTTTTAGCAAAAGGTGTTGGGGACAGTTTACAGAGAGATTTTCTGACGCGTAGTTCTAGAATGATATAAACGCTTTAATTACGATCATCTCATGCTTGTTGACAACCTCGGGCTGGACAAGCTCCAAGTCCAAACATTTCCACCATTTGTGACATTTTGTGTTGTCTTCAATTATCTACGCCTACGGTAAAAACTGAACGAAAGAAAACTTGAATTAACAACTGATCCGGATAGAAGAATATTATAAACCTGATACTTACATTTTCCGTGCAATCAACGGTAGGGAAAAAACAAAACTGCAAACAAGCATAGCATTTACGGTCCCCGACACGAAACTATACACTTATACCACACCAAGTGCTACTGAGCCACGTGACCTAATCG